AGAGAGAGAGAGAGAGAGAGAGAGAGAGAGAGAGAAAAAAAGAAAAAAAGGGATTTCTTTTAATGGAGAGTGCCTAAGTGCAGTAAAGCTCTCTCTAAAAGTGGAGACCTTGGCAAGGTAGAAAAGATATTTGATAAGGGTCTTCAAAAACCTGAGTGATCTGGATAGCGTAAAGAGAAATTGTTTCCAGAGCTGGAAAGGTCAGCAATCAGAGGACACAGATTTTAAGTGACTGGTAAAAGAACCTAAAGTGATACAAGGATTTTGTTTTGTTTAAAAAAGTAAGCGATTATGAACTGAACCATAATCAGCAATTAGTATTTTCCCTGAAAAAGTAATGGAGGTAGATTCAATGATGCCTTTCAAATGAGAATTGGGTAAGTAGATGAAGGGGAAAAAATGGAGGGCTATAGGAATGGTGGTTAAGTGGGAGTAGCTAAATTGCCATTTTGGAGTCCTGATACGGGTTCAAAAACTATAATGTAAACAGTCTATGACTCATTTCTATGATTCAGATTTTGATTCCTACCCTCAATTTGACTACCAATTTAGTTTAAATAACAAAATATATTTCATGCAAGAGTGTGTATCATCTGTAAGCTGCAGCGCAGAAATTTGTCAAAGATCCTTCAACAGCACCTTCCTAACCCATCATCTCATCGAGCTAGAAGGATAAGGACAGCAAGTACATGGGAACAGCACAAACAACTTCAAGTTCCCCTCCAAGCCAATTACAATCTTGACTTGGAAATATATCACCATTTCTTCACCGTTGCTTGATTGAACTACTGAAATTTCCTCCTTAGTGGCATTGTGGGTTCTACCTACAGTAAATGAACTACAGCAGTTCAAGGCAGCAGCTCATCAACACCACCTCATGGGCAACTAGGGACAGGCAATAAAAACTAGCCTGGCCACTGATGCCCACACCCACCAGTGAATTAAAAAACAACTTTTGGAGTAAGTTCACATAGAAACTGACTGTGGGAGGGGGAGAAATCATTAACAGAGATGGGCACAGACATGGTGTAGGAAGTAGTTTAAATCAAGATTTTTAAAGATGGGTTAAAAAAGATTAAGCAAATAGAGGGATGTGAGAGAGACTATTTCAGAGTATACGGACTAGACTGATGAAAGGGCAGCCATGAATTCTGCAGTGAAAAATAGATACAAAGAGGACACAATCTACAAGAATACAAAGAACAGTGGATATGGAAAAAAATGCTGGGCTGAAAGTGGCACAAAAGTTAAGTCAAGGGGAGCATAGGCTATGGACAGATTTGAAGTTAATGTACAGAAAGATCGATAGTCTATGATGGTTAGGAATGATCCTAAGTGATAGCAGCGATAAGTAAGCAAAATAAGATGCATTCGGCTAGTTGTAAATATGGTGACAGATCAATTGCTAGAGAAAAGGGAATTACGCATTAAAAAGGATGAGTCTGGAGATGAAATCTTGAAAAATGACTTCAGCTACAGCAGCAATGAGTTAAATGCAAATACATGGAATGCTTTTGGTGAATTCAGCACAATACAAAGAGCTGCCATATATTGCATGTTGCATTTGCCTGATTTTTTTTTCATTTAAATAACAAACTTCAATTTTTTCCATTTGTTTGATTAACTGAGTTGTTACTTGCATCTTACAGAACTATTCATTGGTCTGGATAATAATCTCTATGCATACCTGTTACAAGAGCTTACCAAACAGGACCTGCCTCCATATTATAATCAATAAACATAGCTAGAAAACAATACAAACAACTTCTGATGTTATACTATGAATTTTGATTTAATCAGTGAACATTAGCAACATTACTCCATTTTTGATCATTTCAAACCAGTCTTCAACAAACTGCAATGATTATTGTTGAAGATAATTCAGGTTATTCAAATGATGAACAATTACATCTAAACAGCCTGGTTAACTTAAAATCAAAGTAATTTTCATGCTTTTTAAGTGAGTGGTGGCAATTATGATTGAGGTGCAGAAACAAACAGTCTTCCAACTAAATCCACCTTTGGATCAAATACATTTATTTCACTGCATAACAAAAAAAGACTTAGCCATGGCCATTAGCTCAAATACCATTTTAACAAAAACAGTAATGTGCATCTAATGCTGAAGTTGCAATGGGACAAATAGAATCTTAAGTTGAATAAAAGATTATCAATTAACTACTGTGCAAGGATCAATGCTACTTTCTACATCAGTTTAATGCTCACCATCAGTGGAATTTGGCCCTACTCACTTTTGCTATAAAAATCAAAAACTATTCAGCTCACTGCAATAGTTTATTAACCTAATTTCCAATAGTACAGTATCCTTTGCTCCCAGTGGGACCCTTACAAAAGAAGATTTGATATACAGCAAATGCAGTATTCATTTTCAATTATTTGCGAACCTTAAAATGTACAAATCCTTAAATATGTTAACTAAAGGAATACAAGTTGAAAGTGAAAAGTAATCTCTCGATGCTTAAATTGACACTAGAAATTCTGGAATCATACAAGTTCAACCAGATACCAATAAATTTGTGAAATTTAAAATAAATCGCCATTGACCAGGACCACCATAGCGCTACTCTCCAAGACGACTGGTGGTAGTTTAACCTAAGGTCACCACACTTCAGGGGAGGGGCAAGTAGAGAAGATGGGATATTCATGGTAACCTCAGCAGGTACTGGAACTGAACCTATGCTGGCTGGTGTCACTTTGCATTGCGAACCAGCCAACTGAGCTAGCCAAACCCCAATAAATTTGTGAAACTAGCAGGCCAATCTGTCATCATTTCTGCTTTCTTCATGAGGAAGAAGAAATATTTTAAATGCTCAAAACATTAAAATAAATGAAAGCCAAGCACAAATACAAACAAACACTTTTCATCATAGCTAAAGCAGTGCAACATCACAGACAAGCAAACCTTAAAGCACTTTAATTCTGCACATGTAAGAGGCCAAGTCAATCGACATAACTGCTGAAACAAAAGAAAATATTTTCAAGAGGTACTGCCCTCATAAATTCCATTTTAAATTTCAAATAAGGGAGCTTTATTACAAAATAGGATATTACAAATTTATCTGTACAGCTATCTTAAAACCAGCCTAAACGTGTAATACAATAAGTTCTTTGTGCATTTGTCAGTGCATTCAGCCTATCACTACCAGGATTGGCAAAATAAAATTATTCAACAAACAGGAGTTTTACTCAATTTTATGAAAAGAAAGTGAGCATCATGAACATCATGAAACCAAGGAATCATGAAGTCTCACCATTATAAACAATTAAAACCGCTTGTGATAACAGCAGACATCTACTCAGCCTTGCTCATTATTTTCCGATACTGTTAGCAGCAGTACTCAGACAAAGCCTCAAGTATATTTGGAACTCCAAACAAAACAGATTTCTCAACTGGAACTCCATTAAAATAAGTCATGTCCTAAAGACTATCCACTTACCAAAAAGGGACTGAAGTACAGAAAACTACACGTACTGATTTTCTGAGCAAACCTCATAATAATAAAGCAGAGTTGGAAAAGTGGGTTGGAAACAGAAACCAAATGCATGCATTTTTCGGAAAAGACAATGGGACATAGTTGGCTCAGAGATAGTGGGAACTGCCGATGCTGGAGAATCTGAGATAACAAGGTGTAGAGCTGGATGAACACAGCAGGCCAAGCAGCATTAGAGAAGCAGGAGAGCACAGTTGTACACAGATGTTTTCCTTGCTGAAAATAAATGTGTCATGAGATGTTATGACCAGTGCTTTTCTTTTATATTCTAGTCCAAGTCATTTATACAAGTACAATTTCAAAGGTTTACAAGTAACACAACTTGGCAATATAATAATTAATCAGCAGGATAGGAGCAGATTTCAGTAGGAAAGGGAGGTATCAAGTAAATGAGAAAAGGTACAACATATAAACTTGGAGAGAAACAATATGGCAAGGCAGTAAAACCTAAATGCAATTGTTATGAGGTGGAATCCAAAATTGAAGGGACTTTGTGGTGCAATGCACAAATCCATGAAAATAGTAGGCCAAGGATGACAAGGCAGATAAAAGTAGTTCAGATATATTTTGCTTTGCAAATATTGCCATGAAATCAAAGACAATGAAGCCCTGCTAAATCCCACACAAATCACATCACTTGAATTTGTACGAATTGGTACGAACTAGTTTCAGTGAGATGCTGAAGACAGCACAGCTTTCAACACTGCATTACAATGCCCATTCTTACTGCAAAACTTTATAAAACAATTAATGGAAAATAGTACATGGTTTCCAAAGATGACATTTATGTCTACTGTTGGTATCAGTTTGACATGAATTTCGGTTTTTAGGGTGATACAAACATAGAAATGGTCTGTTTTTAAGCTTAATAGGTGGAAAGCAAGCAGAGAGAAAAAAAAACTTAAACAGCTAAAATTTGCCCTGTAAAAGATAACAAACATTTCAGTCTTTAATCCATCTAACAGTGTGTAAAGATGATATTTGCAACGAATGCAGGGTTATACTATGCCTAATTAAACACAAAAGGAAAAAGAGAATACCTTTTCTTTACATGGGTGATTATTTTGTGGAAAAAACCCAAAATCCTTTATTCATAAGAAAATAAAGCTATCACAAAGGACTTCAGGAATTCAAGGTGTGAAAAACAATTTGCAAATGGAATATTTGTCAAATTAAGCAGACAAAGATCAACCTAAAAACAGCTCAGGTTAATATCATATCAAAATCATTCAATGTGCACTTAGAGGGATAAAATTATATTTCTATCATATAAAATCAGCGAAATCAAAATAAGTATTAACATTTGCTTAACAGCAGTTTTGAATCAATCACTATAGTGAGAAAATAGTCAACGTATTCTTATATTCCTGTGATAATGTAAGATTTTACAATGATGTTGAAATTGTCATAAAGTGTCAGGGAACAAATGGTTGAAACAAAAAGATGTTGCACAACACAGCATTACCATAACAGCCCCACTGCCCGTTTTTTAAAGAAATTAACGTAGCATGCAAAAATTATTTATTTTAATAAATTTAAGCTTTGAGATTGTTGACTTGCTCGCCAAGCTGGCTTGCTTTCGTTCAGAAGTTTTGTCACCACGCTAGGTGACATCATCAGTGAGGCCTCGATGAAGCGATATTGTTCTACTCCACTTGGAATTTATACTGTCCAGTCCATTATGGTAAGTAGTGTCTTTTCCGGTTTTGTTCCGTATGGGTTTGTATACGGGGTCCAATTCTATATGTTTGTTGATTGCCTTATGGATTGAGAACCATGCCTCTAGGAATTCCCGTGCATTTCTATGTTTGGCTTGGGCTACTACAGTTACGTTGTCCCAGTTAAACTGATGGTCTTCATTGTCCAAGTGTACTGATATCAAGGAAAGTTGGTCATGTCATTTTGCTGCTAGCTGACGATCATGACAGTTTCCATCCTGTCTGTCCAATGTAATGTTTGTGGCAGTCATTGCATGGTACATTGAACGTTTGACCAATGGGGAGTTCCAAACCTCAGAGTACATGAAAGCAACCCACAATGACCAAATCCTCGACTACTCACCATAACAGATTGGACAGTATAAATTCCAAGCGGAGTAGAAAAACATTGCTTCATCGGAGGCCTCACTGATGATGTTACCTAGCATGGTGACGAAATGTCTGAACGAAAACAAGCCAGCTCAGCGAGCAAGTCAACAACCTCACCTACAACCCAAGCTACAAATCTTGGCTAAAACTTTAAAGTTTAAGCTTTATTGGTGAAACTTCTGGGTGTACAATGTTGTACAATATATTAAAATGCAAATTACCTGTAATTTTATATCCATAAACAGCCAGTTGGCCTGCCATATATTCTCCATCTGAACTGTTATGTGAACATCCCCAGGTCTTCACCCAGATCTTCTGTGCACCAGGGATAACACTACAACAAGTAGACAAAGAATGAAAAAAACAAGACCAACATTTAAGGACCATAAGAAACAGGAACAGTAGGCAGCCATTTGGTACCCCCAAACCTGCTCCACCATTCAATAAGATCATAGCTGATCAGACATTCCTCATGTCCAAATTCCAGCCTTTTCCCCATAATCCTTGATGGTCCCACTGATCAAGAATCTATCTCAGCCTTATATATACACACATCTCTCTGTGGCAATGAGTTCCAAAGACTCTCAACCCTCAGACAAAATTCCTTATCTCAGTCTTAAATCGGTGTCCCTTTGTTCTGACACTCTGCACTCTGGTCCTAGAATCTCCCATGAGGGAAAACATCAGCATTTACCCTATCAAGCCCCATAAGAATCCTATATGTTTCAATAAGATCACCTCTCATTTTGATAAACTCCAATGAGTAGAGTTCTAACCTGTTTTGCTTTTACGCATAAGACAATCCCTCCATACCAGGGATCATCAAGTGAACCTTCTAAGTACCTTTTCTTAAATCTGAGGATCAAAACTGCTTGCAGTACTCCAGATGGTCTCACCAGCATCTTGTACAACTGCAACAACCCTCTTGAAATAAGGACCAACATTGCATTAGCCTTCCTGATTATTTCTGCACCTGTGCGCTCGTTTTCTGTGTTTCATGTATTAAGTAACCCCAGTCCCTTTGTGTAGCACCTTTCTACAGGTTTTCTCCATTCAAATAATATTCTGTTTGTTCTCCCTTCCAAAATGAACAACTTCATATTTTCCCACATTATACTCCATTTGCAAATTTCTTGCCCACTCAAACTGTAAATATCTCTCTGTAACCTGTCTGCACCCCCTCATGACTTAACTTTCCATTTTTTTCCATGTTGGCCACAAATGAGGCTACTATATGTTTACCTCCTTCCTCCCCAAGTCATCAATCTATGCTGTAAACAACTGCAGTCCCAGGTCTAATCCCTGTAGAACCCCACTGGTCAAAGATCCCCAACGTGGAAAAGAACTCCTTATCCCCACTCGCTGTTTCATACCAATGAGTCAATTCTCTATTCATGTCAATATACTACCTCTAAAATCATGAGCTCTTATCTTATGAATTAACCTTCTGGGAAGTATTTTGTTATACATCTTCTGAAAGTCCAAATCCCAAACATCTACTGGTTACCCTCTCTCCACTCTGGTTGACATTTCCTCGAAAAACTCTAATTCACTAGTCAGACATGATTTCCCCTTTCATGAAGCCATGCTGAATCTGCTTGATTAGATTATAATTTTCCAAATGTTCTGTTATTACTTCCTTGAAAATTGATTCCAAGTTTTATTCCCAAACACTAAATCTTAGGCCATTTGACCTATTGTTACCTGCTTTTTGCTTCCCTCCCTTTTTGATTAGGGGTGTCACATCGGCAGTTTTCTAATCCTCCGGTACTTCTCCAGAATCCAATGATTTTTGGAAACTTAAAATCAGTGCATCCATTATCACTGTAGCTATTTCTTTTAGGATCCAGGATGCAAGCTATCAGGACCAGGATACTCACCAGGGGCCTTTAGTCCCATTCATTTGTCTAATACTACCTCTCTAGATGGTACTAAAGAATATGGGGGAGGAATTAAGTATTAATGGGATGTTTGAAGTATCTTCTACCATAAAGATTGATGCAACATATCTGTTTAACTCCTCTGCCATTTCATTGTTCCTCATAACTATCTCCTTGATTCTTTTTCTATGGGGCCTTTGACCTCTCTCTTCCTCTTTATATGTCAGTTGTTTTAGTTTTTTTTAAAATTTCTCACTAGTCTACTCTCTTAGTTTATTTTTTTTTCCTCTCTGTCATTGTTTTCATCTTCCTTTGCTGGATTATAAATTTACCCAATCTTCAGAGCTATCACTTACTTTTGTGCTTTTTCTTTCAACCTTATAGTCTCCTTAACATCTTTGGTTAGCCATGATTGGTTTATCTGTTTCAGAATTTGTTGTCTTGGCTACCCTTTCCAACTTAACAGACCCAATGAACATGAAGAGTAACGTCACCCATAATTATGCTCTATTATTTTTACATCCTCCTATTACTTGTAGATTTATACCCTTCTCTACATTGTGGCTACTGTTTGTGGATCTATTCACTACTCCTATATATTCCAGTGTCTTCTTTTCCTTGCTGTTACTTACCTACAGCCAAACGAATACTACATTCAGGGGAGGCAATGGTCTTGTGGTATTATTGTTGAAATGTTAAGCCAGAGACACAGGCAATGTTCTGTGGACCTGGATTTGAATCCCGCCACGGCAGATGGTAGAATTTAATTCAAAAATATCTGATGACGACCATGAATCCATTGCCGATTGTTGGAAAAACCCACCTGGTTCACTAATGTCCTTTAGGGAAGGAAACTGCCATCCTTACCTCACCTGGCCTCCAGACCCACAGCAATGTGGTTCACTGATAACTGCCCTCTGGGGAATGGGCAATGAATGCTAGCCTCGCCAGCAACATACTCATCCCCTGAATAAATAAAAAATAAAATCACCCGAGCTTACATCATCTCTCATAACCATCCTCATTTCATCACCTTTTCCTTCCCTCCCGTTTCTCCCATGTCAAACATTCCTGAATGTTAAGTTCCCAGTTCTGATCTGCATGTGACCATGTCTCCATAACAGCTACGAGATCCCAACCATTTACCTTGAATTGCGTACAATTCATTACATTCTTTCACTTACCTTATTCCGAATGGTTTGAAAATTAAAATACAAAGCCTTCGATCATTTTCAAACATTTTTCTATATCTTCTCCTGACATTTTCCAATAATTTTAAGGGGTTTGAACTTTGAAACACATTAGCACCACATGCAAAATATAGTGGAAACAGTAAGGCACAATTACAAGTCAGTGAGCCTTGTGCCAGCGTAGGGAAATTACTGGACTAGATTCTTAGAGAGAGGATTTACACACATTTGAAAAAATATGCACTTCTTGGTGATAGGCAGCACAGCTTTGTGCAGGGGAGGTCGTCTTTCACAAGCTTAATTGTTTTTTGAAAAAATTACAAAGACAATTGATGAGGGCAGGGCGGTGGATGTTGTCTACATGGACTTTAACAAGGCCTTTGACAAGGTCCCTCATGGCAGGCTGCTACAGAAAGTGAAATCACATGGGATCCACGGTGTACTGGTAAGATGAATACACAGCAGGGTTGGCCATAAAATACAGAGTAGCGGTCTGCAGGTATCGGTGCTAGGACTCCTATTGTTTGCAATATATTTAAAAATGAGTTGGAGGAGAATGTGGGTGGTCTGATTAGTACGTCTGTGGACAATACAAAGATTGGGGGAGCTGCTGATAGCGAGGAGAATTGCCAGAGAATACAGCAGGTTATAGATAGGCTTGAGACTTGGGCAGAGAAATGGCAGATGGAATTTAATGCAGACAAATGCTAGGTGAAGCATTTTGGAAGGTCCAGTGTAGGAGGGAAGTATGCAGGAAATGGCAGAACCCTTAGACATATTAACATACAGAGGAATCTAGGCATACAGGGCCACAGTTCCCTGAAAGTGGCAACACGAATGCACAAGGTAGTCTAAAAAGCATATGGCATGCTTGCATTCATTGGTCAGAGCACAGGGCATAAAAGGTGGCAAGTCACGTTGCAGCTGTTGAGACTTTATTTAGACACACTTGGAATACTGCATACAGTTCAGGTCGCCACACTACCAGAAGGATGTGGAGAAAGAGATATAGAAAAGGTTTTACAAAGATGTTGCCAGTTTTGCAGGATATTAGATGTGAGGAGAGATTGAACAAGATTGATTTGTTTTCACTTGAACATCAGAGACTGAGGGGCAACCTGTTAGAAGTTTTGAGAGGCATGGATAGAATTGATTGTTGGAGATTTTCTTCCTCAACAGTAGAAATGTTAAATACTAGAGGACATACATTTAAGGTAAAAGGAGGAAAAGTTGAAAGGAGATGTGAGAGACAAGGTTTTTCTTAAACAAAGAGGGCAATAAGTGCCTAGAATGCATTGCCAGAGAACATGGTAGAAGCAGATACAATAGCAACATTTAAGAGGCATCTTGCCAGATACATGAAGAGGTAGGGAATAGAGGGATAAAGATTTCATAGAGGCAAAAGGTTTTTAGAAAGGCATCATGTGTCAGCACAGGCTTGGTGGGCCAAAGGGCCTGTTCCAGGTCTGTACTGTTCTTTGTTCAATAACTAATCACAGTCATACTTTGTTTGTTGTGACCTGCATTCTAAGATAGAGACCAGCCCTTTCAAATTCTTCAGATGGTATCTCCAATTGCAATTTACAGTTTTGATACATACTGTTTGCATGGATTATTTTCAAATCTCATCTCTCTACTTGAAACCCAGCTGTCAGCTATTTCAGAGACATTCCTTTTACATGGATTGCATGGCTTGTTTTAGCTCAATATCAGATTGAAACACAAAAATCATAGATAAAACAACCAAAGTACAAGCAACAGTTTATCACTATAATACGCTCACCTCATTACTGCTTTTCCTCTCCAATGCTGTTATTTTACTTTTCACTTCTAAACTGGTGTATATTAAATTCCATCTTGATCCTGCTCCCAATGGTATTAAAGAGTTAGGAGCAACTTTGTAAGCAGATTTGTTTAATAGGCTCAAAACCTATGCCAAAAATATATTTTTAGCCTAAGAACACCCTTTCTGACAACAATAATTTATGTACCAATCTTTGACACATTCAAGTATAAAAGACAAAAAACAGGATTGATAAGCAAACACATCTATGCAGTGTTTTCCTCACTATTACATGTTGAAAAGATAGTAAGTATCCTCTTTAAATGCTTATTTTCTGAACTACCAACAGTACTCAAGTCATATGATCAAAGACAGAAGGTTTTACTTTGTGTTTATCATAATTCGCTGCATGGTTAAATGTAAAATTTTCATCTTGATTTTTAAAATTCTCACCTCTTTCATCACCTACCTCCACATGTGC